GCCGAGGGAGGCCACAGGGCCAAGAGGGGCTGTGAACTTCCCAGCAGTGGAAGTTCTCTGCTGCCCTTCTTCACTTGTCTTTTCCAGACGACTCTCCAAAGTCCCTTCCTAGTAGCACTCCTGAGCTTTTACAATTGAGTCCATTGCTTCTGCATTTGGTTGATCACTTCTTGCTGTTACTGATTATATTTTGCTGTGGACTGTTTGTTTTGAGATGGTTTAGGTTTTTTGGCAAGTTTAACTCAGTATTAAACCAGTCCAGGAATTATTTGTTATTTAGTTTCTCTTTGTGCCTGGGCTGACAAAGGGTACAGTGAGGCAGGATTATGGGAATTTGGAAAATAATAAATATAGGTATTTTTTTACTTTATGAGACTCTTAGGAAATATATTTTTTCAAGTTTGTTGTTTTTTAGTCCGTGCGGTCTGGAAAAGTAATTAAAATTGGGGGAGCGGGAAAGAAAACAACTGAGGCTTTATTGAATAAACTAGGTCCCAAGGACCTAGCTGGGACTCTGAAAAGAGCACCAACTATTGCTGGACTGATGCTGATTGCATGATCAGTAGTGGTTTGTGAAGCAGGAGATGTGAACTCAGACAGATAAAAGCTCACTCTTTTATTGATTCCCCATGTGGAACATGCATTTCCCTCATGCACATACACAGTGCGCTTGTATTTGCAACCATGTATGCACTCCCATTCTTGCACATGATCCTAATTCCCAGGGTTACTGTACCTCCTGTGGGCTTGCTCAAAAGGGACATGGAGGCAGGTACCTGAGATGCACTTTCAAACTTTAGAAAGTATAAATCTATTTCCATCTCTTTACTATTTCTTTCATCTTGAAACTAGGAGCAATGAAATCTCTGGTGTTTTGGATAAACATGAATTTGCCAGTAAAAATGGGCTTGTTTCCATGTAAAGCTGATCTCATATTAGAAAAAAACACAAGAATAAAACCATTTAGTGGATATATTTGCATGAAGTGAAGTGTGTCTAAATATAGTTATGGTGATTCACAATGATGATATTGCTGTGCGCTTCACATAAACTTTTGCTGTTTCATTTTGTCCATACCAAGAATTTCACCTTAGCACAAAATCCTGGGAGAGCAGTGAAAACACACCGTTCCCATGAATAAGTGTCCATTTAAACACAACGGTGTGCACGTTGTGTGTGGTGTTGGTTTAATTTAGGGAAGGTTTGTGCTGGTTCTCAGCATTTTGCAGTGTATGTACAGACATGCACGCTCTGTGTTTGCATAGAAATGATGGAGTGGTTAGAGGTTTGACAGTATTCTGGCACTACAAGCAATGATTCCTGGAGGTTGGGTTGGTGGGGGACAGGCAAGTGCCCCAGCTACTATAACTGTGTGAATTCACTATATGGTGTGAGTGGCTGCCAAGCTGCAGGGCCGCTGGGTGCCGTTCCTGGGAGCAGCGGTGTAGCAGGACTAGTGGGGGATGTCTAGCCCCATCAGCCCCATGCAGTGAGCCACACTCCAGCATCCTCATTATCCACACAGTTCAAAAGGCAGTCCTGAGCGGTCCGTCACGTCCCACAAAAGGCTGTATCGATTGGTCTGTCGGAGCATTTCCCGGGGTCCTTTATATCTCCCTGCCTCGTCGTCAGTAATGAAGAGGCCGAGCGCAGGGAGAGTCAGCAGACTCCCAGCTTCTGGGATTTCTTCATCTTCTCATCAGGATTTTAATTAGACACGTCCGAGAGGGCAGCACCGTGTGAGGGCGGGTGGGAGCTTTATCAAGCAGGCCACATCTTTAATTACTGTTTACTGACAGATAACAAGGGAGGGGAGGTGGCAGCAGAGATGGTTGTAGGGGGAAGCAGGGAAAGGACAGCAGTCCCCAGAGTGTGCGCTCAGCAAAGAAGGCCTTTGCTAGGGATCAAGTGGAAATTGTTCCCCCCTCCCCATCCTGCCATGCTGTTTACCTGTTGCCAGAGTGAGAAAGGTTCCCCTTGCCCCTTTCCTAGGGGGCAGAAGATAGATCTGAAAGGTGTTAAGTGATAAGGGCCAGAGACACAAGAAATGAAAAGTATAAGTTTGGTTAGAGAAAAATGAGACAACTGTCTCCTTTAAGCTGCCAGGATCCTCAGCTGAGCTGTCCTGTGCCTTCCCAGCCTTGGGCAGCCCTGTGGGTTTTCTAACACTGCACAGTAGGAAGAAAAATTATTTCCTTCTCCTCCTGTCTGGAATTGGCAGCCCTCCTCCCTCCCACTGCCACCATTGCTGTTTTGTCCAAAAGAAACCTTCTTCCGTCTTTCCATGTGTCCTCAGCATTGGTGGTATGAGACCAGTCTGCTCTGCAGCTGCTGCTGTCACAGACTTCCTCCCTGCTCTCTCATGGGCCAGCTCTCCACCTAGTGTGAATCATATCTTAGAATCATAGAATTATTAAGGTTGATTCTTAAGTCCAACCATCAACCCAACACCACCATGCCCACTAAACCATGTCCCTAAGCGCCTCATCTACCCGTCTTTTAAATACTTCCAGGGATGGTGACTCAACCACTTCCCTGGGCAGCCT